TGGGGGCGTGGCCTGGCGATTTGTGCCTTTTGCGGGGGGCGTGGTCTGTCCCATTGGGGATAATGGAGGGGGCGTGGCCTGGACCGGTGGGGGCGTGGTCTGTCTCATTTGGGGCGTGGCCTGTCTCATTGTGAGTAATGCAGGGGGCGTGGCCTGTCTCATTGGGGGCGTGGCCTCTCAATTTCCGCCTTTTGCGGGGGGCGTGGCCTGGAGTGGAGTGGGCGTGGCCTTTTGCATTGGGGGCGTGGTCTGTCCCACTGAGGGCGTGGCCTGTCCCATTGGGGGCGTGGCCTGTGTCGATATGGGCGTGGCCTGTCCCATTGGGGGCGTGGCCTGTGTCGATATGGGCGTGGCCTGTCTCCATGGGGGCGTGGCCTGTGTCGATGTGGGCGGGGCCTGTCTCCATGGGGGCGTGGCCTGTGTCGATGTGGGCGGGGCCTGTCTCCATGGGGGCGGGGCCTGTGCAGCGGAACCGCAGCAGCAGCTGCAGGGCGCGGGAACCGGCGGGGGACGGCTGCGATTTTTTGGGGCGAAAAACGGGGATTTTGGGAAAATTTGGGGGTTTCAAATCGGGGAATTTGGGGGTTTGGGATTTGGGAGAAAATCGGGGAATTTGGGGGTTGGAAATTCAAAAAAGTTGGGGGAATTGGGGGGTTGGGATTTAAGGGGATTTGGGTGAAAATCAGATAATTTGGGGGTTTGGAATTTGGAAAATTTGGGGATTTGGGATTTGGGGGGAAATGGGGGAATTTCGGGATTGGAATTTAGGGGGAAAAGGGGGAATTTGGGGGTTTGAGATTTGGGAAAATCGGGGAATTTGGGGGGAAAAGGGGGAATTTGGGGGTTTCAGATTTGGGATAATTGGGGAATTTGCGATTTGAATGAAAATCAGGGAATTTGGAAAAATTGGGGGTTTGGGATTTAGGGGAATTTGGGTGAAAGTCCAGGAATTTGGGGGTTTGAAATTTGAAAAATTGGGGGATTCGGGGGGAAATGGGGAATTTGGGGGTTTGGGATTTGGAAAAATTGGTAGATTTGGGGGTTTGGGATTTAGGTGAAAATCCGGGAATTCGGGGGTTTGAAATTTGGAAAAATTGGGGAATTTGGGGCGAAATGGGGAATTTGGGAGTTTGGAATTTGGGGAATTTGGGGAGAATTGGGAAATCGAGGAAAAGGAGAGAAGGCATTGGGGGAAAGCGGGGTGAAAATCGAGGAAATTGGGAAAAAGAAAAACCAAAAAAAATTAGAAAAGTATAAAAAATTAAATATAAAGTCAAATAATGTTGAAAAAACCCCTCAAAAAGCCCCGCCCCCTTTAGCCCCGCCCCTTACCTGAAGCTCCGCCCCCTCGGCGCTGGCCCCGCCCTCCAGGGGGCGGAGCTTGGCCAGGGCGGCGAGGCAATGGGGGTGGTGGGGCGGGGCCCAGCAGCGCAAGGCCTGATGGGAAAAGGGGCGGGGCTTAGCAGGGTGGGGCCAAAGGGGGCGGGGCTTAAAGTGGGTGGGGCTAAAGGGGGCAGGGCTTAGGTGGGTGGGGTTAAAAGGGGCGGGGCTTAGGTGGGTAAATATGAAGGGGCGGGGCTTGGGTGGGGTTAAAAGGGGCGGGGCTTAGGTGGGTAAATATGAAGGGGCGGGGCTTGGGCGGGGCTAAAAGGGGCGGGGCTTGTGGGGGGGGGGCAAAAGGGGCGGGGCTTAGGTGGGGTTAAAAGGGGGCGGGGCTTTGGTAGGGCTAAAGGGGCGGGGCTTAGCGGGGTGGGGCCAAAAGGGGCGGGGCTAAAACTGGGTGGGGTAAATGGGGTGGGGCTAAAAGTGGGTGGGACTAAAATGGGTGTGGTTAAAGAGGGTGTGGCTAAATGGGTGGGGCTAAGTGAGGGTGTGGCTAAAAGTGGGTGGAGCTAATGAGAATGTCATTAAAGGGGTGGGGCTAAAAATGGGTGGAGCTAATTAGGGAGTAATTAAAGGGGTGGGGATTAAACGGGTAGGGCTAAAAGTGGGTGGAGCTAATGAGGGTGTGATTAAACGGGTGGGGCTAAAAGTGGGTGGAGCTAATTAGGGAGTAATTAAAGGGGTGGGGATTAAACAGGGGTGGAGCTAATTAGGGAGTAATTAAAGGGGTGGGGCTTAAACAGGGGTGGGGCAAAAGGGGGTGGAGCTAATTAGGGAGTAATTAAAGGGGTG